AAAGCGTTCCTCACCCTGAGGAGAGCGATCCTCACTATGAGGTCAGCGTTCCTCACTCTGTGGACAGCGTTCCTCACTCTGAGGACAGCGTTCCTCACTCTGAGGACAGCGTTCCTCACTCTGAGGACAGCGTTCCTCACTCTGAGGACATCGTTTCTCACTCTGAGTAAAGCGTTCCTCACTCTGAGGACAGCGTTCCTCACTCTGATGACAGCGTTCCTCACTCTGAGGACAGCGTTCCTCACTATGAGGACAGTGTTCCTCACTCTGAGGACAGCGTTCCTCACTCTGACGACAGCGTTCCTCACTCTGAGGACAGCGTTCCTCACTCTGAGCACAGCGTTTCTCACTATGAGGTCAGCGTTCCTCTCTCTGTGGACAGCGTTCCTCACTCTGAGGACAGCGTTCCTCACTCTGAGGACAGCGTTGCTCACTCTGAGGACAGCGCTCCTCACTCTGAGGACAGCGTTCCTCACTCTGAGGACAGCGTTCCTTACTATGAGGTCAGCGTTCCTCACTCTGTGGACAGCGTTATAATAATAATAATAATAATAATAATAGTCTTTATTAAAATACTCAGATACATCCGTCTGAGTTTACAATCGAAAGGTAATTGATCTAGTTATATTTACAATTGTAAGTTAAGAAGCGTAAAAGTTTTAAAAAGTTTTTAATAGATTAAAGTCTAAATAGATTAAAGTCTAAACAAAGTTATACAGACAACGATTTATGAACGACCTTTTGAATCTTTCTGTTCTCACTAGGGGGAGTTCATACTCATGCCCTCTAGGTCTAAGTAACCTACTTCTTTTTTCCGGCAGCAGTTCAAGCAGTGCATTGTCCTCAGTTGATGTTATTTTGTTCCACAGTTTCTTATCTCTCTTATCACGTATTTCTTTAATGTGTGTTCGTTTTGATATATAACCATTCTTATGTGCACGTTTAATGAATTTATCTATTTGGTTCAAATATTTACCGTCGTATGCACAACCCCACAGCTCAATAGCAAAAGTGAATATCGACATAATTAGGCTATCAAACAGCAGATCTAATTGTTTAATTGATAGTCCATAGTATTTGCAAACTCTCATAATGTACATTCGTCCACTTGCTTTTTTGAGCATTTCTTCAAAGTGCAAATCCCAGTTGCACGGGTTATCTTGTAGAGTAACTCCTAAAAGCTTTAGCCATGTTTTTCGCTTAATTGAAGGGATAAGCTCGGGCAAAACTACAGAGGTGTGTCTGCGAACAACCATTTCGTACGTTTTTTCCAAGTTTAAGGGCATTCTATTCTCTTCCGCCCAATCCTGTAAACAGGCAGCTTCAGATCGAGATGTGTCACCACTTTCGTTGCCAGGCACTCCTAACGTCAAATCGTCAGCAAATTTGACTAACGCATTACTAGGATCAGCAGTTTTAATATCATCAACCATTATTGAGAAAAGAACTGGGCCTAAAACAGTACCTTGAGGGACACCACGATTAATATATAAATATTCTGTAACCATTCCATCAACCATTACTCTTTGTATTCTATTTTCTAGAAAGCTAATTAACCAGTTCACCACATACGGATTAATGGGTAGCTTTTTAACTTTTTCAAACAAAAGATCGTGGGGCACACTGTCAAATGCTTTGCTGAAATCGAACGACAGCACTCTAACATAATTAGCGTTTTTATCCAGCCACTCTAGCCATTGATGTTGGGATTTAATCAGAGCCATAGTCGAGTTGTGACCCTTTTTATAAGCAAATTGGTCAGGACCAATGTTATTTCTTGTGATAGGTTCGATTTCAGATTTATACACGCACTTCTCGAATAGTCTCATGATGATGTCCGTCAGAGAGATTGGTCTTAACTGGTTACACGAATTTAATGGTGATTCTTTAGGGAGTGGTAATAAATTAGCGGATTTCCATTTCTGAGGTACTTTGCTGGTTTTTAGTGACATGTTAAAAATTTCTGTGACAATAGGAGCTAATTCAATAGCAAACGATTTCCAAAACCAATATGGCAGATTGTCCGGACCCGATGAAGAGCGTTTTTGATTGCGTAAAAGATGTTGAACTTCATGAATTGACAACGAGGGAATTCTTGTTCCTTCGGAGATTTGAAGAGGCTCGGGAGTCGTATAATTTGGGTCTGTATTCACACTTTGAAAATATTTGTTAATTTCACTAGGGTTAAGAGAAGCACTTACTGATACATCATGTTTCTTTTTTCTCGATGTAATGCTATTTACGTTAGACCACCAACTTTTCGATCCAGTTTTCTGGTTGCCAAACTCCTGTTTGACTGCACTTAATTGATTTTCCCGAATTAACTTGTTGATTTTTTCTTGCAATCGTGTATTTGCTTCAGTATTTCCGTTTTGTATGGCTCTTTTCCTTTGATTCAGAAGGTGGTTCACAAGAGGAGACATGAACGGAGGGTCGCGTGATGACGTTCTGACCTTAATTAGTGGGAAGCTCTTATCGAATTTTGGCCATATTATTTCATAAAATTTTAGGGTTATCTCATCTAGGTTATGGCTATTCATAATTATCGTGTTCCAATCAATAGATTCAAGTTCACGAAGCATATTCAATTGATGATGTTGTCTCACATCTCTGAAATAGGAATTTGTCCTTGTTGCTTTAACTATGTTTCGGGGGTATGTGATAACCATATCATGGTCGGATCTCACCAAGCTTTTTACAACTTTAACAGATTTCCAATAGTTTGGGACATTTGTAATAAAGACATCTAATATTTTTAACCCTCTCGTAGGGGTCTTAACGAGTTGGGTAAATGGAAGTTGATTAAGAACAGATCGAATGTTTAAATTGTTAATGTCACCAGCAATTATTATATTTGAATTCGGTTTAGATAACAATAGTTGTTCGCACGAGTCAATAAGGAATTCGATAAGGTCTTGCTCATTATACTCATAGTTAGGTGGGTGGTAAATAGTTGCAACAAAGAATTCAGAGTTTTGTGTAATAATTTTTGTCCATAAACATTCGAATGGATTATCCAAATCAGGTAGTAGCTGCATTCTCCAATCATTCCTGCATAAGATCGCGACACCTCCTCCTCCACAGTTTGTTCTATCCTTTCTAATGATGGAAAAATTGGGAGGACAAACGAGGGAGCTAGGTATAGTCGGTTTGAGCCATGTTTCGGTTATACAACAAACATCTATGTTATTGCACTTAATGTCTGCGCACAAAGCAGGAAAAGCATCAGGTTTTGCAATAGATCTGGCGTTCAACACTGAGCAACATGGAATTAAGCGTGGTTGACTCGGGGCAGTTTTATTCACTTGCATAGGTCTCAAAGTGCTGCAATGCCTAAGAGATTTTATATAACTGTGCTGTCTTGTGCGTGGAGTAATTCTGACGGGTATCTTATTTAGTTCGGTATCGGGTATCTTATGGGTACCATTGTTAAGGAAGGGACAAACAAACTTGGATGAATCGTAATCACCTGTCAACGCCTGGGCGGTCTTGTGTAATTCGTCATCAGGGGTGAAGGGTACTGATTTGGGTAACTCATTGGGGGCTGTATGGCTGGAGAATAGGGATTTGGATATTGTGACGATATAGGGGTTGGAATATCCATTAAAGGATTCAATGGGCGGAGATTTCTCCAAGGTTCTCGGTAATAATAATTCTGGTTCCTCACTCTGAGGACAGCGTTGCTCACTCTGAGGACAGCGTTCCTCTCTCTGAGGACAGCGTTCCTTACTATAAGGTCAGCGTTGCTCACTCTGAGGACAGCGTTCCTCACTCTGAGGACAGCGTTGCTCACTCTGAGGACAGCGTTCCTCTCTCTGAGGACAGCGTTCCTCACTGTGAGGACAGCGTTCCTCACTGTAAGGACAGCGTTCCTCACTGTGAGAACAGCGTTCCTCACACTGAGGACAGCGTTCCTCACTCTGAAGAAAGCGTTCCTCACTCTGAGGAAAGCGTTCCTTACTCTGAGGACAGCGTTCCTCACTCTGAGGACAGCGTTCCTCACTCTGAGGACAGCGTTCCTCACTCTGAGGACAGCGTTCCTCACTCTGAGGACAGCGTTCCTCACTCTGAGGACAGCGTTCCTCCTCTCTGAGGACAGCGTTCCTCACTCTGAGGACAGCGTTCCTCACTCTGAGGACAGCGTTCCTCACTCTGAGGACAGCGTTCCTCACTCCGAGGACAGCGTTCCTCACTCTGAGGACAGCGTTCCTCACTCTGAGGACAGCGTTCCTCACTCTGAGGACAGCGTTCCTCACTCTGAGGACAGCGTTCCTCACACTGAGGACAGCATTAATCAGTCGGAGGACAGCGTTCCTCAATCTGAGGGCAGCGTTCCTCACTCTGATTACAGCGTTCCTCACTCTGAGGACAGTGTTCCTCACTCTGAGTAAAGTGTTCCTCACTCTGAGGACAGCGTTCCTCACTCCGAGGACAGCGTTCCTCACTCTGAGGACAGCGTTCATCACTCTGAGGACAGCGTTCCTCACTCTGAGGACAGCGTTCCTCCCTCTGAGGACAGCGTTCCTCACTCTGAGGACAGCGTTCCTCACTCTGAGGACAGCGTTCCTCATTCTGAGGATAGCGTTCCTCACTCTGATGACAGCGTTCCTCACTCAGTGGACAGCGTTCCTCTCTCTGAGTAAAGCGTTCCTCACTCTGAGGACAGCGTTCCTCACTCTGAGAACAGCGTTCCTCACTCTGAGGACAGCGTTCCTCACTCTGAGGACAGCGTTCCTCACTCTGAGGACAGCGTTCCTCACTGTGAGGACAGCGTTCCTAACTCTGAGTAAAGCGTTCCTCACTCTGAGGACAGCGTTCCTCACTCTGAGTAAAGCGTTCTTCACTCTGCGGAGAGCGTTCCTCACTCTGAGGACGGCGTTCCTCACTCTGAGGAAGCGTTCCTCACGCTGAGGACAGCGTTCCTCACTCTGAGGACAACGTTCCTCACTCTGAGGACAGCGTTCCTCACTCTGAGGACAGCGTTCCTCACTCTCAGGACAGCGTTCGTCACTTTGAGGACAGCGTTCGTCACTCTGAGGACAGCGTTCCTCACTCTGAGGACAGCGTTCCTCACTCTGAGGACAGCGTTCCTCACTCTGAGGACAGCGTTCCTCACTCTGAGGACAGCGTTCCTCACTTGAGGACAGCGTTCCTCATTCTGAGGACAGCGTTCTTCACTCTGAGGACAGCGTTCCTCACTCTGAGGACAGCGTTCCTCACTCTGAGGACAGCGTTCCTCACTCTGAGGACAGCGTTCCTCACTATGAGGACAGCGTTCCTCACTCTGAGGAGAGCGTTCCTCACTCTGAGTAAAGCGTTCCTCACTCTGAGGACAGCGTTCCTCACTATGAGGACAGCGTTCCTCACTCGGAGGACAGCGTTCCTCACTCTGAGGACAGCGTTCCTCACTCTGAGTAAAGCGTTC